TTTGGTGGGGGGCAAAAAAAATGATAGTGATAACGGACGACGATGATAGTTTAACGACTATGAGAGCTCTCGAGCAAGGAGCCACTCTTTGTGTCCAAAAGCCTTTCACGATACAGCTCATGGACCACCTTTGGCAGCACGTGCTTCGTGAGAAATCCTCGAGACGTGAACTGAAAAAGAAAAATCAAGAAACAAATATAGCACAACACAAAATGAGTTCGGAAAATCAGCAGCCGTCCGATTTTGTAGTCTCGAAAAGGAAGCAATGGACCGAATGGACAGACAAACTTCACGGAAAATTCGTGCAAGCTGTCACTCAACTCGGGCCAGGGAGTTATGTTATTAATTTTCTGTTCGAGTTTTTTTCTTTTTAGTGTGCATTTACTGCGCGTTAAGTGTATTAATTTTAGATATTAATTTATGTTTGTTTGGTGAACAGAATGCTTTCCGAAAGAAATTCACGAGATGATGAAAGTGCCGGGCCTCACAAGAATGCAGGTCGTGAGTCATCTTCAGGTCGTGTGATGTTACTTGATTTTAAATTTTTAATAGTTAACTTAATACACGTAGTGTATTTCGATTTAATTGTCCGAATTAATAAGTAATAAAAAATTTTCCCCTGCATTTTGTACAGATTTGCCGCAATGGAAAATGGCGGCGAAAATCAAGGGAGGGTAGAGTGCAGCAATATAATGCCGAACCAAACGAGAAAAAACCGAGGTTCGGGCACATGCCTCGTTTATCCACCGAGCTCGAGTTCAAGCAAGGAACTAATGAAGAAGCTCAAATGGCCGATCAAAAACATCAAGAATCAAATGGGATAGAGTTTGCGCCGATTGTCTATGAGGTTCCGTCTAACCCAAGAGACGACGTTATTGATAAGGACCATTTTGAAGATTTTGCTGACTTGGAGGAAATTATCAAATACTTCACTGATTTATAATGATACATTTTTAATGAACATGTAATTGTATTAATTTTGCTTATTGTTAAGCGATCGAACGAACGGTGAAAGTTCTT